GATTTCTTGTTATACCTTTCATGAGCATGAAATGGTATTATAACTTTGGTCCGATGTTTGTAAGTACCAGAACAAAAAGAGATAGACTCATTAAAATATATACTTTTATGATCAGAACGTCGAGCTGAGTTGATTTATCCATGTCCGTCTGTCCGTCTGTCTGTCTGTCCGTCTGTTTGTATGCAATCTAGTCCCTCAGTTTTCGAGATATCCGGATCAAATTTGGTAGGTGGGTGTATTTTTATAATGTATTAATCATTTGTCGGAACCGGAAGAATCGGACCACTATAACATATAGCTCCCATACAACTGATTGTTCAGATATGAGATTTTTCGTTATAACTTCCCCATTTATGCAGCTACGAACATGAAATTTTGCAGCACTTGCACCCATTATCAACAGAATGCTTACAGAGAAAATTACAAAGATCGGGTCACTATAACCTATAGCTCCCATACAACTGATTGTTCAGATATGAAATTTTTCGTTATAACTCTTCCATTTATATAGCTGGGAACAGGAAATTCCGCACTGTTTTCAATAATTATCAACAGAAAACTTACAGTGAAAATTAAAAAGATCGGATAACTATAAACTATTGCTCCCATACAACTGATTGTTCAGATATGAGATTTTTCGTTATAATTCATCCATTTATGTAGCTAGGACCATGAAATTTCGCGCTGTTTTCACTCATTATCAGCAGAAGACTTACAGTGAAAATAACGAAGATCGGGTCACTATAACCTGCAGCCCCCATACAACTGATTGTTCAGATATGAGGTCTTTTATCGTATCTCCTCCATTTATGCAGCTGGGAACATGAAATTTCGCACCATTTTCACTCATTGTTAACAGAATACTTACAGTGAAAATAACAAGGACCGGGTGACTACAACATATATCTTCCATACATCTGATTGTTCAAATATGGGATTTTACTGTAAAACTCCTTTATTTGAACAGCTAAAACCGATAAATTTCGTAAGATATTTTATAAATAATAATACAAAGTCTACTGAGAAAATCGTCAAAATCTATGCTGTATACGCTTTATCTCCTATAGCACTGATTGTTCAGATACCAGTTTTTGCGATATATCTCCTTTATGTAGGAAACTAAACCCAATAAATTGTGTTACCGGTCTACATACCGATCACATAGCAGTGAAAATCACTTAGATTGGTGCCATATAAAGTATATCTTCCATACCTCTGATTGTTTAGATGCGATTTTTTATATAAGTATGTAACTCCTCTATCGATGTATGCAGATGTATTCAAAATCAGTAATCTGTCAAACTAAAATTTGCAGATGTTCATGAAAGGTATGAAGCCTTCGGCATAGTCGAAGACAGCGCTGCTCTTACAAGTGTTTCTTTATCCTTGATTGTTTGAATGCAGTTTTCCCCATCTGCTATAAATTGAAATAATGGAAATTCTTTATTACTTGTTGGTAAGGCAAATTTAGGACCAAGAGAAAGAAGCCACTGAATGTCATTAGGAATTTGCGTAGTTTACGTGTTGCAGAGCCACCCTGGTACACCCTTTATGTTTAAAAGTTGTTTTTGTTTGTCTTTTAGTTTTTCGTATTTGTTTGTTTGTGTCTTCTTAATATCTGCAGCAAGATTTTTTGTTAGTAGATTTTCACTTTCAAAAAATGTTGTGGAGTCAAGTGTGTTTAGTTGTTGATTTATTTCCGTCTTTAGGATATTTACCTCCTTTTCCTTTTTTCCAAGCAGCTCAAATTTGATTTTG